CAAACCCCAATGTACCCTCAACAATTATCAAAAATTTACCAATATTGTTTTTTCTCATTTGTCTGTATTTGCACTTATCTTGAAGGTTTTTTAAAAACAAATATTAGGCTTATAAATGCTTATATATGTATAAATGCTTCCATATGTATCTTTCACAGATGAGAATTTTTTAACATAACCACAATACCATTAATATAAGATAAAAATTTTATGGTTATAATTCTCAAATATTATCTAACATATACTCCATGTTCTGATTTCCTGAGTGTCTCTAAAAAAAGAGTCTTTGTTACTTTTTAGTTGGTTTATATCATCAAAATATCATTCTTACCAGTTCATTTTCAAGTGAATACAAGATTTTTAGCTAAAGCTAGGAAGGAAGAGGAAACAATACCATGTTTTATATATGGTATTATTTCTACATGGTCAGGTCGGCCACAGGCCAGGCAGGCTGGAGCTTAGGTCAGGGTCCAGCTTCTAGAGGGAGGGTACCCCCCAGAAAGCCAGATGCCCAAGGCTGGAGGGGAACCCCTGCAGGTTTCAACTCAAAGCTCAAAAAACAGTGCTCTAAGCTAGAGACAGAATGGAACCACAATCAAAAGCAACAGTTTGTGAGAATGCAATTCACACAGCAAACATTTGTCAAAAGCCAACTCTACCAGGCACTATCCTAGAAAATGAGTTGTATTTTTTTTTTAATTATACAGCGAAACAAGAAGCAGCATATATTTCCCTACAGGTGACTTTCTCCGTTAATTTTAAGGGCGAGAATGAAGATATTTAATATTATTTACCTTGCCATAGACCATTACAATTTACAGTGCATCTTTATAAACTGCAGTTTGGCCTACCCTATCCCAGACATTAACACAAACCTGAATTCTACTGTCCTTTCCAAATATTTTTGACAAGTACACGCTACACTAGCTTTTATTACACACATTACAGATCCCTAGCATTTACACCTACAATTATTTTCTAAATGGACTATTTAGTTTAGAAGGAAATCAAGAGAAAGCTAAAGAATCTCCCACCTCCTCTGAAAATTGCTTCCTCTTTCAGAGGCTTGTCCCAAGTATGTCAGAATGTATTGTAGATGAAAACTGGTTACGTGCATAGAGAAAAATTTTCAAGAGATGTAGTTCTATAGGCCCTCACACTCAATACAAATCCGTTCTGGAATCTTTTACCTCAATTTCACCTATAAATTTTTTTAAGTTTAAAACTTCAAAAAAAAAGTGGAGAAGGAGAGAACACATTTCTTCAAGAATGCTTAAGAAGTACTTCCTAAATGTGTCCAAAAACATGAAATAGTCACTAAGAAATTTTTAGCAGATACTGTAAAGGACATCTCAGCAACAAAAACTGGCAGTTGGATAACTACACTGAGAATCCGGACTTCCCTGTTTCAGAACCGACACTTTTGCATCAGGTTCCTACAATTTGTAGAGAAACAGTAAAAATCCTAAGTTTAAGATAGCATTCCGAGTAAGACCACTAACTCCCCTGCCAATCTGTAAGGAGACATCATTAAGTCCCCAGAGCACAAGGCAGCCTCGCTGGACACTCTTGATTCCTGCACCATGTGGACAGGATCTGAAGGGATGTCACCTTTTACCTACTTTCTGGTAACTAAGCAGAAGCGCTTCCTTACACTTTCGATACATCTTTCATTTTGTGTGCTTTCATGTGAGGCACCATCCAAACAGATGGTCCTCGGAGTTTAGCTTCACTCTGTAGCACTGCTGTGACGATCATACCTAATGGAGAATGGAACCTAAGGACACAGCCCAATCCATCACAACTCTAAGTAAACTGTAAACAATGGCACGAACCTCACTGAAAAAAACATGAGGTTCTTAGCAAACAGCAGCAAAAGAATCATATATAAATTGTGAACAAGGAGTTAAAAACTCAAAGTTCGCATGCTTCAATCTACAAAATATTATGTAGGCTTCCTTTTAAAAGCTGGTTAAAGATGAAGTTAATGTGTAGACTGCTATTCAAATCGGTATGGATGGCAAATAAATACTAAAAAGTTAAATCACTAACAGTCTTCATCAGGATATCACAGGCAAAATTGGTTATTCACAGAATAAGTGGGACTGTAACTCGCACCTATAATTTCCTAGACCCCAATCACTACTATCTTCATAAGACATGACAACCTGACATCAGATTTTCCATGTAGTGTTTACTTGTTTATTGTCCTTCTGTCTTCTGCTACTAGAATGCAAATTCCAAAAAGGCAAAACCCTCATCTTATTTTCCACTGTATGCCCAGGTGGAGAACAGGGTCTAGTACATAGAGGCTCCAAATAAATTTGCTCAGTGAAAAGATGGATGAATGGCCTCTCCATTTGACCTTCCCTACTTCCTTTCCTCCATATACATGTTAACCATCCTTCCAGGCCAAGGTCAAATTCTATTATCTCTATGAAGATTACCTCCCCAAATCCTCCAATCTCTTCCTCCTTCGATACCAAGAATGTGGCACTTCCCAGCTGTCTGATAATTGTTTTTCTTTGCATATGTAAACGGATCCCTTAAAATTCTTATAATCCTCATCATGTTGCGGACTCCTGTCCCTCACTTTTGGAAGCCACCTCAGGACCTGTAAATAGTATACTATTAATAAATGTTCTGCTTGACTGATTCATACCTACAGTTAATCCAGCAATCAATTGAGTTAATAGTTTCAACTTTTCATAACCTTTCAATTCCTTTCCAATAACTCGACTGAAATTGCAGTGGGTCCCTCTTCCTTTTAAATTTATCTTTGGTGATTTCAAGTTTTACTTTTTTATATACATAATTATAACTTATGCTTATTTTATCCTTTATCCATCCCCATCCCTCAAGATTTTTATATGTAATTAAAAAAAATCTTGCAACTTTTCAACTTTGCAGCTATAATGAGGTATTTAACCCCAATCCAGAGGGAGGAGAAGTTTCATCACTCTCTTCTTATTGCTAAGGTATTGGAGGTTATTTTTCCTTTTTATGCCTTTTTCCTTTCATGTCAAGATATATCCCATTTCCTTCTTTACTGATCATAGCCCTGGCAAATTTTTATTATGTCTTTGTACCTGTCCTTGGTAATCTGACTTAGATCCTTCTTTTTGAGTAAATCCTGTTTCCTCCAGTCATTTATTTGATTAAATTTCAAACTCCATTTCTCAGTCAGTTTGCATACGGGACTGGCCTCTCCTTAAGGCCTGAGCCTGCTTCTTCAAATCTGGCCAATCTTTATGAACCTCATCCCTTCATAAAGGGACCAAAGGTCATCTGGGACAAATGAAATGTACTACAATATCAGATTATCCTCAACACAAGAAAATCAGAAAAAACTTAACATCTGGCTTTGGAATATAGCACATGTGGCTTTAGGCAAGATTTACTTTCTTAATTATGTTTTTGCTTAAGCCATCATTAGTAACATTTTCTTTTATGATGGTAGGTATCTGTCTCAACTTTAAATTTTGATGCAGTTAATTTTTTTTAGACAAGTCAATCAAGTATCGACTGCGGTTTTTCCTATGAAGCCCTTTTAACTAGCTTTTCAATCTGTTGAAAATTGTCATAAAATCTGGTTTCTGTTTCCCTTGATTTATTCCCTCCGTTCTTGGGCTTCTGATCCAAATCAGCTTACCCTGGGTTAGTCCACTGCTTTAATTTAAAGTACCATTTGCCTGAGAAACACAAAGCATTTTAAAAACATTAAACATCCAGTGAAATTTTTAGTCCAAATAACACAAGATAGAAAACTCTGCTTTTTTTTGGATACTTCAGGAAAAGTTGGGTTTCTAAGATAAATTACGCTGGTTAATTCCATCCAATTATATTTAGTATGCTATTATGATTGGTTGAAGAATAGAAAAACATTAATATTGGACAGCTATGTAAATCAGCTTCATCAACATATAATCCCAGGGGCCAAAAACTCTATGGAATTAAATTCCCAACACAGGCGTCTATAGGAAAGAGCATTAAGCAAACCCACACATCAGCCCTGACCTTTCTCCTGACTGCAGCCTAAACTCTAACCATCTCACACTAGATCTCAGACTCACTTCAACAAGTAGTTTCTACTATGTAAGAGAAAGGAAAAGAACTGGGTTAACAGGATCTTCTCTTCTGCCCCCTTTTCAGTTACTCCCATTAAGCTTTTGGCCAAAGAGATCCTCCATCCTCAGTTTCACATGACTATTTTCACTTTACAGGTATTCAGTTATTGTACATCCAAATGCAGGTTTATAGTGCTTGAACCTGCTTTTTTCCCCATGTTATTTATTCATCATATTACCAGTAGAATTAAGAATAAACTCGTTTTTAATTTTCCCCCCAAGTGGAACTGCAGTAAGTGCAAATTATTGTACCTAAATACCAACTTCTTGGCTGGGATCTTTTAGCCCAAGTTTTTACATAAAATGTTAAATGTTAAACCCCCTCCCCAATTTTTTTTTTTAACAACAAGCTTTCACACAGTCCTCAAACTCAGTAAATCCCACAACTTTATTAAAAAAACAAAATCAAAAACAGCCTTTCACAGTGCCTAGTCATATTTTGACTAAACTGCTTATACCAAGCCACAAATTCTTAATTTTTTAATTTACCTTCTCCAGTCAGCTGCCTTCACCAAATACAGATTTCCACAAGTCTCAATTAACTACAGCCTCCCAAGCTGTTTGTCCACCCATACACATGATTGTCAAGGAAAAGTAAATAATTCACAAGTGACTAACTCAATTGGTAAGAATTCTGTCCTTCTTTTAAAAATTTACCTTACCTTCAAAAATCTCTTTTCTTGATGGAGTTCGGAATAGTATAAATCTTTTGAGGAAACAGTTGTCACCTTTGTGCACTCAAAAGGTGACTGGCTTAAAGAGGCATTTTTCTGACAGTCTAAGTTCCCCAAATACTAGACATAAGGTCTTTCAAAGATGGTAAATTTCACACACACACACACACACACACACACAGAAAGGAAAGAAAAGTACCTGGTCATTTTCTAAACAGGTTTGATAGGTTTGGTTCCCTTGTAAGAGCAGAGTATTTACTTATAATCTTTTAAAGCAGAAGTGGCAGCCAGAGCACTGGGTAAATAACTTCACTGAGTTTTTAAAACCCTGCATCTTAACTCACTTCCCCTTGATTCAAGGGGACGGCACTGCAAACCCCACGGCAAATGAGATTATGTAACAGGTTTTCCCTCAGCACTTGACTCATCACAGGCTGGTTGGAGGTGTGCTTTCTCCAAACGACTCGAAGCACCTGGGACTTTTAGACTCTTTGCAGCTGACGTCTGATAAACTTCTTTAGGATTTTGCAGTACCCATTCATTTTAAGATCTACTTATATTTCCTCAAGTTAATTACCCACTTGTCGCTGCTGCTGTTGTTTTAAGGAAATAAACCCAGCAGCACCTGAAAACTTCAGTTTTGCACCAGTATTTTCCTCCCTGGAGTCTCATGGCGTGAAACCACACAGGATACACCGACCCTCGGTGGTCTCCCCGGGCTTTTTCCTTTCTCACGTTTTACGGCTGGTGTAAATAAAGCAGTTCCCGGCGCACCAGGCCCCCCGGCCCCCGGTCTCGGGGGTCTCAGGATGAAAACCGAGTTGGTTTGGTAAAAAAGCAGCCCCGTCACCACCCAGGTGGCCCCGCTGCTTACACCAAAGGCGAAGCAGGATAATGGGAACCGTCAGGCCGGGGCCCCACTTGGCAGGCGTGTTGTGTAACAGTCGCGCCTGGAAGTGAG